AAACTCTGGAGATGGAGTCCCGTAGGCGACATGACATTAATACATTGAAACATTCTGACAAACCCTGTAACGCAACTGTTGCCAAGCTGCATCACCCATATATGGTGTTCCCTTGGGCTCTCCAGGTGCGTGGGTAGAGACGATATGATGTCTTAAAGAAAATAATTATGTAGGCCTTGTGATTTCGTCCTGAAAAGTCCTACCAACGTCACAGTGTGACAGACGGATGTCAGTAATGGCCGCAACGAGTCCCCTGACCTCTGTATGATGGTAACAATAACAGTAATCAAATTAAAGTGTATGATCATGGGTAAAAGATATTTTCATTTCTTCTTTTTAAGTGTAGCACGTTACTGTCTCGAGTAAAACATTTTTTATTGACACTTCACGTATATTGGTGTTTCCTCGCACATGACTAATCCTAGCATTTCCTTCCAGCTCTCTAACATTGGAATACATTCTATTTGACAGTGGTCATGTTGGGGTCATGCACGTTTCAACCCGCGTTTCCATGTGGCAGCCACTTTAACATGACGTCACAAGAAGCCTATTCAAACAGGAGTGAGACTTTCACCAACTTCACCAAGAAATGGTCTCAAACTGTGAGAGTGAACGGAGGTAACTCTCGACTTGAAGCAAAGGGAGATTACTCCCATGAGCTGATCAAGACTCGCATACCAGCTAGTTACCTTGGTACCAAATTCAAAAGGAGAATTCGAAGTGTGTCTTGGCCATTTCAATTTAAGAAACATCAGTTGATAATGGCTAGTACCACTACCGAACAAGATACTAATGCCACTACCACAACAGACGCTAGCCCCACTACCGCAACAGACGCTAGTCCCACTACCACAACAGACGCTAGTCTCACTACCACAACAGACGCTAGTCCCACTACCGCAACAGACGCTAGTCCCACTACCGCAACAGACGCTAGCCCCACTACCACAACAGACGCTAGTCCCACTACCGCAACAGACGCTAGTCCCACTACCGCAACAGACGCTAGCCCCACTACCACAACAGACGCTAGCCCCACTACCACAACAGACGCTAGCCCCACTACCACAACAGACGCTAGTCCCACTACCGCAACAGACGCTAGGCCCACTACCGCAACAGACGCTAGCCCCACTACCACAACAGACGCTAGCCCCACTACTGCAACAGACGCTAGTCCCACTACCGCAACAGACGCTAGTCCCACTACCGCAACAGACGCTATGGAAACAACTTCAAATGATAAACCAGAGACGCCCTCAGATGACATTTCAGAACTAGCTTTTGAAGAGCAGCTTCTACTTGGCGCGTACCCGGGATGTGTCAAGGAACTGTTCTGCCACCAGAGTCAAAGATGTCTGAATGTACGGATCAGAAAGCCCATGTTTGGCGAGGATTTCAAAACAATGAATCACGTCATGCCGGACACGACTGAAAGAGTTTCATCGCAGCCCTCTGTCACCGACAGCACCAGAACGACGGCACATGATCGCCATCAAACTACCGATGGCACACGACCGACGCCACGTCACGACGATTCTTCGACGTTTTCTAGCAGAAGACAATCATTCCCTGTCACGGATGGCACACTGACACCAATCCCTGTCACGGATGGCACACTGACACCAATCCCTGTCACGGATGACACACCTACACCAACCCTTGTCAATGATGGCACACTGACACCAATCCCTGTCACGGATGGCACACTGACACCAATCCCTGTCACGGACGGCACACCTACACCAACCCTTGTCAATGATGGCACACTGACACCAATCCCTGTCACGGATGGCACACCTACACCGCGTTACGACCCATCTTTTCCGTCCTCAAGTAAGAGACCATCATATCCATGGTTGGAAGTGTATGAGTTTGTGTTCCCCAACAAGAAAACCACCTCGACTACTGCAAGCTCACCAACTGATTCTGCTTGTCCTACCAACCGTCTGCTGGGAGAGATGTGTTCATGCGATATGGAATGTGTGATCTACGGCGACTGCTGCGTGGACGTCTTCTACAGCTGCCACAGACTCAACGCAACCAAGGACATTATTCGCTTCATTCAGGAAACTTCGGGAAACTTTCTTGCTAAAAATAGCAAAGAATCTTATCCAAACTCTACTAAGACATCACTAAGCCTTGAAGATGACATGTTAATGACATACGGCACATGCGTCACGGTGAGGCGCTACCCTGAGCAACACGTGATGATGGTGGGGGCGTGCCCGGGCCTAAATGCCACAGAGTCGGCGCCCAGGGAGGACTGCCAGGCGTCCGATCACGTCCTGCTGCCGCCCGTGGTTGGGGACATTCACGGCACTCGGATCACGTTCAAGAATATCTTCTGCGCATTGTGTCACGGGCTTCACCCGGACAATCTCGACGTCTGGTCGGCCGAACTCCATTGCGGTGACGCTATACCGGGAAAAGATGTCACAGTCCTGTCAGATGATGACATTATCCGTCGTGTCAGTGCTGGCGTCTGTAACGTGACGTATCTCCATCCCAACCTGACTTGTCCGCCCAGGTACTGCCAACCCGGTGCTCATCTCACCGTGGTGCAACGGTCCCAGCTGACACGCGGCGTGGAGTCTGGGGTTTGCTCAGCGGACGATGAGCTGCTTTGCAGAGCTTACTTCTTTCCTGACGGCGGTTACAAAAACCCCCACTGCAAGAAGTGTCTCGCTGCTGGGACGACCCTCAGGACAAAGCGACAGGTTGAAGGTCTACACATGAAATGTGAAGTCCTCCACCCTCCGCAGGTCAGTGGTGGGGTCCTCATCATCCTTGACCTCTTCGGGCGGTACACCGGGTCACGTGACAACCATTTCACTACGCTTAACGTATGCGGGGACTCCCAGGTGTACGACCCAGACGCCCAGGCGTGCCGGACACTCTTGTGTCAGAATGGATACAAACCTCACCAGGGGAAATGCCTGTTGGACACAAGGGTCAGTGTGATGGACGGAGAACTTCAGTTATTTCCGAATACATGGCGGTTCATTAAGTTCTCCACAAATGTGACAAAATATTTCAACGTTTCTTGTGAGAAGATGGAGCGGGATTTAAACACCAATGAATTCTGGTCCCAGGTCAATATCTCTCTATCCATAGTCCCAGAGGTTGAAGAAGGGGAGCGGGGGGTGGAAGCCGACGTCATTGAAGGCAACTGTGCCATTAACAGGTCATCAACGAACCATTCAAGCGTCGTCGGCATCGACTTTCAAATAGAACTGAAACCAAAGGTGAACGTCAGCAGCTTGACCCTTGTCCAGACGATTGCACGTGTTGTGTTGAAATATCTCAGCCCGAACCGAACCACCCAGATGTGGGCTACGAATATGATCAAGGGATCCATGATCACGTGCCCAGACCACACACGTTTGAGGACGTACACCGACGTGTTGCTAACAGACAACAACAATGTCTCATACGCAGCCATCCGTAGTGCACCGACTTCACTCTATCCTGTCGGCCATATTGGTTTTGATGTCGCCATCAATGACCTCGACCCCGAAGGTGAACTTGAACTCAGGACGGTACACGTGTGCAGTGATGACCTATTCAATGAGAACTGTTCCATTGTGACGTACGGTGTCAACGAAACAACTTTCAACTCCTCCCACCTGACGATACTACACACCCGACAAGTCTACGGCCCTGGCAGGTTCAAAGTTCGAGCCGATACCGTCCTCGTGTGTTCGGATTTCAAATTTGCCAGCAGGCAAACCCCCGTGAACTCCGGAGACCAGGTTTACCGAATATTGAACTGGACAATGACGTCACTGGCCTGCTTGTTTCTCCTCGCCATGGTGGTCCTGTACTGCGGGTTTCCGGAACTCGCCACCCTGCCCGGGAAGATGACGGCCAGCCTGGCCGGAACTATGATGCTGACGTTCATGTTTAACCTCCTCACACTGGTGGACGTACATGGACCTTACATCTGTCCGGTCGTGGCGGTCATCAGCCACATTGTCACCCTGGCACATTTCGGCTGGATGTCCGCCATCGCTCTGCATATGGCCTTGACATTTGGATCCCGTGCCATGACGTCATCAGGTAAACGCAACTCGTTCCTGCTGTACAACATCGCAGTTTGGGGAAGCTCCGTCGCCATCGTTGTGACGTCAGTCGGCCTTGACCTCTCCCATTCAGATGCGCCGACCGCCACCTCCGAGCCGATGTTTGGGACCTCGAACAACGTTTCCACGAGCGAGGTCTCACACTTAACATCTACGACATCGGGATTCCCTCGCTATGGCTACCCCGTCTGTAGCTGGTTTTCTGGAGCCATGTGGACGCGCCTGGCGTTTATCATCATCCCTTTCTCCCTGACTTACATCAACAACATCGTCTGCTTCACCATTACACTGTTGGGCATTCACAAAGCCAGCCAGAACTCGGCCAAAGTTGGCAAGAAACGATCAGATTTGACCCGCTGTCTCATTTATTTCAAACTGTCCACGGCCATGGGCTTTGCCTGGATCCTCTCCCTTTTAATCAACTTTGCCCCGGAAGAAGTATCCCTTCCCTATCTGTCTGTCGTGCTCGTCTTCCTGCAGGGGGTCTTGCTATTTATGGCGTTTATGGCAAACAGCCGCGTCTACAGGGTAGTCACGCAGAGGATCAAGTTGAGAACCGCTTCCTGGAGGACGTCAGCGCAAACTACGACAACCAAGTCGAAGGTTCTTAGTACTGTCTACAGCAACCAAGACTAAGGTTGTTACTGCTGTCTACAGCAACCAGGTCTAAGGTTGTTAGTGCTGTCTACAGCAACCAGGTCTAAGGTTGTTATGTCATATCTACAACTCTTTTAACAATACTTTGCAGGTTTAAAGTACTCTAAAAGTGTGATCATTTGTAAGTGGGAAAATCAAACTCAATCAAGGCCTACAATCCTTAAAGGCCAAATCATACAAGCATGCAGAAGTTCAAGGACTAAAACATACATTTGAGTTATTTCTTGAAATTAAAATTTTATTGTACTTTTTTTTTTTAAAAAGAGAAAAATATGTTTGCATATTAAAATACTCTGAATGAATCACGACAGTTGTATGTTATGTACAGAGTCCATCTCCCAAACACTGACCAGCTGCACCTTGACGGTCACGCCATGTCCATCCCTCACAGAACACAGACCCAAGTTACACGGAGATGACCTGCAGAGATGGACGACAGTTTTAGCAGACGACATGGTTATTTCTACCGTAGAACGTTGTTGGTGTGAAATAAAATTGCAGAATCGAGTAATCGATTTATTTATCAATTATTAAATGTAATTTTAATTTTTAAAATACAGATGTCCTTATTCGGCCAAATGTCTGTTTAAGATTGTTTAGAGAATATTTTAAGGTGTTTTCGTTTTGGAGATTTCACATTGTTACCTATCTTTAATCTATCAGTAATCTATACGTAATATATCTGGAATCTATATGTAATCGTATCTTATCGTTGATAATCAGCTTCACATTTTACACAGAATTTTAACACTGGATTTATCAAAAATAAATTTTGTAAGCCTGGCCATTCAGCCACGTAACAACCAGATAACAAGCGAAGTCATAAACAGGTAACTAATAATGTCATAACCAGGTAACTAGCAATGTCATAACAGGTAACTAGCAATGTCATAACCAGGTAACCGGCAAGTCATAACCAGATAACCAGCAATGTCATAACCAGGTAACTAGCAATGTCATAACCATGTAACTAGCAATGCCATAACCAGGTAACCAGCAATGTCATCTTACCATGACTAATGAAGCACATCACACACCCCCACGCCCCCATCTATTTCTCTCCCTCCAGGTGATGGTTGTTCAAGTGTTCGCTGTTGCTGCCGAAGTCCTGAGGGTTGAAGTGGGTCAGTGGCACAGCCCTGTCTGCAGATCTGTAGAACAGCCGTTGGTTGCGGTTGCTGTTGTCTTTCAGTGTTTGTCTGGGGTTGCGTGGTCTGTTGCTGTTGTTGTTGGTGAAGGGCCACTTGCCGAGGTCGGGGTTGCCGTGTGTGTCAACCTGAGGCTGGACAACCTGAGGCGATCAGGTCAAGACAAGTGCTTATGATTTCTTCAGTTTATTTCAACTGAGTTACCCCTAAGTTGGACCAGAGCCATCTAACATTTAAATCAACCGGTAGAATTCCTGGCTTAAGATTTTAGGATACAACTTCATCAAAACTTTTCAAAAAATGCATAGCTTGGAAAATTTGTCTATGAAATGATTGGCCCTGAAGGGGGGAAAAAATCTATTTTATTACGTCATCAATTATTGAGCACAGTAGGCTTCCATAAGACTAATAAAAATAGTTTGTCTTTATTTGAGTACTGCACTCTACGTCATCAAAATCAGGGTAGTGTGTAATATTTCTTCATCTAAACTGGGGCACTATCTCAGACTGTTCAATAATCTAATAGCTTAATGTGTTACTGACCTGGTTAGATCCACCTTGGAACTGGTATGTTCTCCCGCCTTGCTGGAGACGATAAAAAACACAGATACAGTGAAGAGCAGTGAAGAGCAGTAAAGAGCAGAGAATAGCAATTAAGAGCAGAGAACAGCAGTGAAGAGCGGCACAGAGCAGAGAATAGCAGTGAGGAGCAGAGAAGAGCAGTGAAGAGCAGTAAAGAGCGTTAAAGAGCAGTGAAGAGCAGTAAAGAGCGTTAAAGAGCAGTGAAGAGCAGTTTTTTAAAGCTATCCGTTGGAAATAACAAATATCACTCTTAACGCAACCCACGCAGTCTAAACACAACTCCTTAACACAGAAAATAACATCTTAAACACAGCCAAACGTCTCCCTAACCTAATCGCCTACTGTTAAACACCTAGCTTTAAACACCAAACGCGACTTTAAACACAAGACGGCAATTCACCAGCTCTTTGATGTCATTTGGTGTAAAGACCTTTGTTTATTGCAAAAACTGTGTTCTGTCATGTTGATACTGTGTTCTGTCATGTTGATACTGTGTTCTGACATGTTGATACTGTGTTCTGTCATATTGATACTGTGTTCTGTCATGTTGATACTGTTTTCTGTCATGAAGATACTGCGTTTTGTCAAGTTGATACTGCGTTCTGTCAAGTTGATACTGTGTTCTGTCAAGTGGATACTGTGTTCTGTCATGTTGATACTGCTTTCTGTCATGTTGATACTGCTTTCTGTCATGTTGATACTGCGTTCTGTCAAGTTTGAAACTGCGTTCTGTCAAGTTGATACTGTGTTCTGTCATGTTGATACTGCGTTCTGTCATGTTGATAATGCGTTCTGTCAAGTTGAGACACATTTCTTTTTTTCTCCAATTTGTGTGTTTTCTGCTGTCACTTTAGCGGAGGAAGGCATGCGTCCGATACGTTCGTTTCATTTTCTGTTTTATTATTCCAGTTGCAACATTTATTCTTGTTCTCAATATGTCTAGAATGAACTCAACAAAGTCTCTAATGTATTATCCTTATTGATTAGATCAAGCATGGTCCTGGTAGCCGTCATACATATTCAAACGTACATATTTTTAGAGTATTTTGGCTAACAACTGAGCCACCTGTGTCTTTGGTAACAACTGAGCCACCTGTGTCTTTGCTAACAACTGAGCCACCTGTGTCTTTGCTAACAACTGAGCCACCTGTGTCTTGGCTAACCACTGAGCCACATGTGTCTAGGCTAAAAACTGAGCCACCTGTGTCTTGGCTAACAACTGAGCCACCTGTGTCTTTGCTACCAACTGAGCCACCTGTGTCTTTGCTAACAATTCAGCCATATGTGTCTTTGCTAACAACTGAGCCACCTGTGTCTATGCTAACATCTGAGCCACCTGTGTCTTTGCTAACAACTGAGCCGCCTGTGTCTTGGCTAACAATTTAGCAATCTGTCTCTTGGCATAGTTATTGAGCCACATGTGTATTGGCTAATTATCGAGCCACATGTGCCCTGGTTAACAATTGAGCTAGCTGTGTCTTGGCTAAGAATTGGGCCACTTGTATCTTAGCTAACAATTGAACCACCCGTGTCTTGGCTAATATTTGAGCCACCTGTGTCTTGGCTAACAACTGAGCCACATGTGTCTCGGCTAACAATTGAGCCACCTGTGTCTCGCTAACAATTGAACCACCTGTGTCTTGGCTAACAATTGAACCAGCTGTGTCTTGGCCTAGACACAGTTATAGTGGTGTAAGTGGTGGCTAAATAAAGAGAAATGTAAAGAGTAGCTACCAGTGTGCCGCATGGTGGGGCGACTTCGGCAGCTGGCAGGCACCTTTGTTGGGGCTCGTCATACACGGTACCTGGGGACAGAGTAGGGATGGCGTCATCAATCAGGGACTTGGCATATACAGCGGATGGATGACGTCATCATTGGGAATTGACATATACATTAGATGGATGACGTCATCATTGGGAATTGACATATACATTGGATGGATGACGTCATCATTGGGAATTGACATATACATTGGATGGATGACGTCATCATTGGGAATTGACATATACATTAGATGGATGACGTCATCATTGGGAATTGACATATACATTGGATGGATGACGTCATCATTGGGAATTGACATATACATTAGATGTATGAAGTCATCATTGGGAATTAACATATACATTGGATTGATGACGTCATCATTGGGAATTGACATATACATTAGATGGATGACGTCATCATTGGGAATTGACATATACATTGGATGGATGACGTCATCATTGGGAATTGACATATACATTAGATGGATGAAGTCATCATTGGGAATTGACATATACATTGGATGGGTGACGTCATCATTGGGAATTGACATATACATTGGATGGATGACGTCATCATTGGGAATTGACATATACATTAGAAAAACTTTAAGGAGGATTGAGTGGAGATTTAATATTTCATCATTTGCGTCATAAGTGTATGGGTAAATATATGTATATAGGTCATCTAACGAACAAATTCTTTTTTTAGTAACATTGTTCTTCCCCATCTAATGCACTAATATACATTCATCATTCAGGCAGGATTTATTTGTATGGCTTTTAATGAAATCTTACATTAAAGGGACATAAACATCTGTACGAATCAGATTTGCTTTTCCATTATTACCTTCCCTTGCAGTTCAAGTCAACCGAAGTTGCTGTCCCAGTGAATCTCTTTCACTTTCAACAAACCCTTTACCTACGTCACTATGACGTCACCGGATGACCTACCTTCACTGCACCTCTGGTGACCTAGATAGCGTCCGTAAGAACAGGTGTAGTAGAAGGTGCATGGAGGAAGGTTCTCAACGGGGTCGGGGTCTTGGTCAGGGTACCTGTGGCCCGGTCCATTGTAGACGAGACAGTTTTCGGGTTCGGAGTTACAAGGGAACGTCACGGCTTGGGAGCCCCTGGGGATGGAGACACAAATAAGACTAGTTAAGTAATGGGTACATCAATAAGATGTGAGGACCCTTCGTGACACCAAGGTAAAAGATCATTAGAGATTCTTGGTGAGAAAATGATTCAACATAAACATTACTTGTAAACTAGTTCTAGCTTAAAAAAAATAAAAAATAAAAAAATTTACCCCCCCCCCCCCTCCCCCCACACCCCCCCCCCCCCAAAGTATGATGTCGTTAATGGACCAACCCAAAAATAAAGAATCCACCACAGGATATTAAATAGTTATAAATGATGAGTGAAACTCCCAGTGTTTCTCAAACGGTTCGTCTGAGCCATCAAATCTTTCATTCTGTAAGCCGCCTGTATTAATATTATTGGAAGTTTTGATTGCTCCAGTTAATGAAATAACAAGAAACTCTGCCCAGGGAACCACTGCCCCCGTCTCCATGACAACTTACTGTACACAGTCTCCGGCCCGCCTATCGTACACGGTTCCGTTGACGCAATCAATTTGTGCGTAGTGACCTGAGCGGCACATCCCGTATGACCCACACGCCCACCAGTACAGGAAGTTCTCAGGCAGCCCCGTGCAGTCATATTCGAACTCTGACTGCTGTGAATAGCTGGACCCTGGAATAAGGCAAATGTTCTTTAACTGTGTGCAACACTAAATATAGTAATAGATGAAAATCAATAAAAATCAAACTTCATGTCGTACTGACCGGAGCTCACTCCATGTCCTACTGACCGAAGCTTACTCCATGTCTTACTGACCGAAGCTTACTCCATGTACTACTGATCGTAGCTTACTCCATGTCCTACTGACCGAAGCTTACTCCATGTCTTACTGACCGAAGCTTACTCCAAGTACTACTGACCGAAGCTTACTCCATGTACTACTGACCGAAGCTTACTCCATGTACTACTGACCGTAGCTTAATCCATGTACTACTGACCGAAGCTTACTCCATGTCCTACTGACCGTAGCTTACTCCATGGCCTACTGACCGAAGATTACTCCAAGTACTACTGACCGTAGCTTACTCCATGTCCTACTGACCGTAGCTTACTCCATGTCCTACTGATCGTAGCTTACTCCATGTCCTACTGACCGTAGCTTACTCCATGTCCTACTGACCGTAGCTTACTCCATGTCATAATGAATCTATATCTACCTTGTACTTCTCTATACCTTTTTACCTAATTAATGATTAAACTGATAGAATATAGCCGTATATGAATACCAAGTCTTATAGAAGATATCAATATGAGTTATCAAGTCTTATCACATATATCAATATGAGTTTTCAAATCTCACAGAATATGTCCATAAAGTTGTCAAGTCTCACAATATGTCCATATGAGATGTCAAAAAATAATTACTTTTATATTTTTACCATGATTGCTTGTCTTAGCCAATGATAGACAGATAGCTCTTAGTCAATCAGGGTCAACTATTTCCTCATCAATCAGGACCCAATACTCTAAATCTAAGAGTTGTATTCGTGTGTGTGTGTTGGTGTGTGTGTGTGTGTGTGTGTTTGTCGATGTGTGTGTGTGTGTTTGGGGTGAAGGGGTGTATTTAAAGTTATTTAGGTTTCGGTAGTAGTGTATTACTTACGTAATAGAATAGGATGACTTGTCATCTGTATAAAAGTAGTTTATTACTTATGTAATAGAAAAGGATCCCTTGTCATCTGTATAAAAGTAGTGTATTACTTATGTAATAGAAAAGGATCCCTTGTCATCTGTATAAAAGTAGTGTATTACTTATGTAATAGAAAAGGATCCCTTGTCATCTGTATAAAAGTAGTGTATTACTTTTGTAATAAAAGTAGTGTTCTTTCTAATGCGTAATGGCAATAATAACATAATACATTAGGTAATCAACTTTTATAATTCACTTCGTTTGCCTGGTTCTAACGCTGAGCGGTATAGAGCGATAGAGACAGGGAGAGAGAGAGAGAGAGAGAGAGAGAGAGAGAGAGAGAGAGAGAGAGAGAGAGAGAGAGGGAGAGAGAGAGAGAGAGAGAGAGAGAGAGAGAGAGAGAGAGAGAGAAGATGTGAGAGAGAGGGAGAAAAAGAGAGAGAGGGAGGGAGAGAGAGAGAGAAAATGAGAGAATGAGAGAATGAGAGAGAAGATGTGAGACAGAGGGAGAAAAAAGGAAAACCGTTGCACCAGTGTTCCCTTTATCGAATGCAGAGTTCGAGACCCGTAAATCTGAGTGATCTATCAATAGAATCAGTTCAACGGTCAGTGCAGTAGTACACAAAGAGATAAGGTCATCAAATCAAGTTCTTTCCATCGATCAACACTCAACAAAGATTGGAAAGTGTGTATAGCACCGACCTTTCCTGTGTGGTCAAGTCAAACTTACTGGTGAGAGACGCTGGCTTCGAATCCTGATCTCTGCGCACTTATTTTAGTCTAACTATGCATAGCAATCAACATGTCATACAACATTGCATACAACATTGTCTACAGACTGCTTAACTGCGGTTTAATGATGTTATTTTATTGATCTCACATTCAAAAAAATTTTAATATCGGCATCCGTGGAGATCTGCGGTAATTATTTTTTTTAAAATGTGTGTCCTTTATTTGTAACAGCTTGAGACTCCCCGAGTCACATTAGCTGAATATTACCATTTTCAATTGATGAAACATACGTAGTTTTTAGGGTAGTTGCTAGTTTTTTAAAAAAAAAGTATACCTACTTCTATTTAACGATTGTACAATTAACTAATGACATGAGTGGACTTAACAACCACTAAAAATAAACTAAGGACATGAGTGGACTTACCTACTACTAACAGGAGCACCAAAGACTGAACTAAGTAACCCATCGTAACAATACTGCCGCGGCTCTACACTATGGAGACGTACGAGTTGACAGAGCGTTTCTCCCAATGACCAGCGGCCGGCCTTATATACCGGTGGTCCAGTGCTAAGCCCGTCAGAGGTGCCGGCTTACAACTGGGGCCCCGGCTTAAGTCCCTGATCACTGTGTACACCAGCCTAATTGCCCGGGGGGCTTCCCCGTGGTCTCGGTGGCTCATTTCTGTACAAACAACAAGTTAGTGACATCAATCGTGTGGCCAGACTGTCTGGTTCACATCCTAAGCTGGTCACTCTCTGGCTTTTTTTCCCTTGTTGATTCTTTTCTTATATCAACCAGACGAGCATATCTGTCTTATAGTTTTGTCTGCCTGATATCATTTTATGTCTTATAGTTTTGTCTTATTGTATGGTAACACTAATAGTTTTGATTGTCCAATAGTTTTGTCAGTCTAATAGTTTTGTTTGTCTTAAATTTTTTCTTTACAGTTTTTGTTAAATGGTTGACTGTAGTTGGGTGGACATGTTGAGAATGGTTGTTAGGAATTGGGTGGACATGGTGAAAATGGTTGGCTGTAGTTGGGTGGACATGGCGAGAATGGTTGGCTGTAGTTGGGTGGACATGTTGAGAATGGTTGTTAGGAATTGGGTGGACATGGTGAAAATGGTTGGCTGTAGTTGGGTGGACATGTTGAGAATGGTTGTTAGGAATTGGGTGGACATGGTGAAAATGGTTGGCTGTAGTTGGATAGACATGGTGAGAATGGTTGGCTGTAGTTGGGTGGACATGGTGAAAATGGTTGGCTGTAGTTGGGTGGACATGGTGAGAATGGTTGGCTGTAGTTGGATGGACATGGTGAGAATGGTTGGCTGTAGTTGGGTGGACATGGTGAGAATGGTTGGCTGTAGTTGGATGGACATGGTGAGAATGGTTGGCTGTAGTTGGATAGACATGGTGAGAATGGTTGGCTGTAGTTGGGTGGACATGGTGAGAATGGTTGGCTGTAGTTGGGTGGACAATCTTAGAATTTCAGGATTTAAAACTGACGGCTTACATAATAAATCTAACATATTACATATACGAGACATACATCTAGCATCTTACATATACGAGACATACATCTGCGAGTTACAGAATTCGAGAGAGGATGGGACTGAGAGACATTCTGACATCTTTAGATTTTTTTTAAACCCAAAATATATTTAAAACATTTTGTTGTTTTTTTAAATTAACTCATGAAAGTTTTCTGTAACTGAATTGTTAGTAGTTATAATATCCAGTGTAAATTTAAGACCTTTATGAAAATGAGGCCTGGGCCCCACGAAACAAGCATCACCCCCTCCCCCCTCGCCCCCCCTCCCGGGTCAAAGCACCCACTTGTTCCACTAGCAAATGTGTTTACTCTTGTCTAGACCAGGTTGTGTTCAGGACAGAAAAGCGACGACAACTGAAGAGAAAACAATGGTAGGTCATGACACAACTGTACAGGTCAGTGTTGAAGTAGGTCACTTGTTTCATCCACCAGTAGGTCAATTTACCTGCTGATCGTAAGGACGTCCCATTATTATTGTCATATGTAGCACACGTTACACAATGCTTTCAAAGCCCTACCCATAGTAACATTACCGGGATTAGTGACTCCTATGTTACCTATTTCCTCAATACCCATTTCCTCAATACCCATCTCCTTGATACCCAACTCCTTGTTACCCATCTCCTTGATACCCAATTCCTTGTTACCCATCTCCTTGCTACCCAACTCCTTGTTACCCATCTCCTTGGTACCCAACTCCTTGTTACCCATCTCCTTGGTACCCAACTCCTTGTTACCCATCTCCTCGTTACCCATCTCCTTGATACCCAACTCCTTGTTACCCATCTCCTTGATACACAACTGCTTGTTACCCATCTCCTTGTTACCCAACTCCTTGTTACCCATCTCCTTGATACCCAACTCCTCATTACCCATCTCCTTGATACCCAACTCCTTGTTACCCATCTCCTTGATACCCAACTCCTTGTTACCCAGCTCCTTGTTACCCAACTCCTTGTTACCCATCTCCTTGATACCCAACTCCTTGAAGAGCTGCCAGGTTGAGGGAGTGGTTATCACAGTTCAGAAATGTTGCTTTGGATTTATGTCTAAGAGACGTTTCTGCCGGCCAGACAGACGGCCACTCATTGTGGCTGCGTTATGTCTAAGAGACGTTTCTGCAGGCCAGACAGACGACCCCTCATTATGGCTGCGTTATCATAGGTGTGACCTCTGCACAGATCAAAGTCGAGTCCAACGTTTTTAAGAGTTTTCAGAACAAGTTCTCCCTAATGTTGTGCATCTGGCTTCACAGTAAGCAGGGAATGACTCTTTTATTTCGAATTTCTCGACATCCAAGTAACGAATTATAAGGGATGTGGAATCAAGCATCAGAGAAAAGTAACAAACTTGCTTGACTTTCCCAACAATTGATTCCCTAACTTGATTGCCCATCAAGTTTATGATCTGGTTTTGAATTTCAGGTGACAAATAATGTGTCTTCCCATATTCGATTCTATGTAAGTGGTGTTTCGAAACTTCATCAAATTCTGCAAGAAATTTCAAAGATTCTTGGAAGTTCCCAGGATTGGAAGAATCCAGTTTTTCTTGGTGGCCACATAAGCTTGAGTTGGTTTTTATTAAGTACTTGACAGCTGCTCTACACGCTTCAGAATTTATCTCCAATACTGCTGATTTGTCAAAATTTGCTCATGAAGCATATGTGACAGTTCATCTGGTTCTGCTTTAAGCCTTTCTTCTTCTAACTTCCACTTCAAAAAAGCTTGTCTGCGGTGGACTCCTTCTTCATGCTCTTTCAGTCTCTCAGGTTTCTACCATTTGTTGAAACCAACTCCAGGTTTGCTCAATGCACTAGATGTTTTTTTCTGATGCCTCAGAAAGCATTACACATGCAAAACAAAACAGACATTCCAAGTGTGGAGAGAAGAGGAGCCAAGATCGGTTGCGAATTTCTCCTGTTGGAAGCTTTCTAGTGAACCATGATGACTTTCTCCTGTTGGAAGCTTTCTAGTGAACCATGATGACGTCAAACTTCGTGATTTATTTTGGGTAAACTCTGTTGGAAACAAGCACTCTTCATCGTTGTTTTGGAAGAATTAGCTCCCCTTTCATACAATCTTTGCTCGCAGTTCGTCAGATAAACTTCCCGGCCGGATATATCCGAAGTCTTTGTACTTAATTACAGTTTCTTCAACTTCTGGAGAATGTGATTTTGGAAGATCATCACGTGACTCATCGTCTGTATCACTTACTTGAGATGTTTTCTCTGACTGGGGTCAAAGGTTCTCTCCCCCCCCCCCAACTGAAGTTTCATCAGTACTACTTCTCTCATCAAGAGGCATTTCCACTCCTTAAGTCTCTTCGACTGCTGTATCTTTGTATGAATCATCTGAATGGTTATACTTTTCTTCACCATGTTCATGGTCTCCTTTGTTTCCAGTGGTCTTATCAGGTGTCTTCTCAAAGAACCCTTCAACAACTTTCCTTGATTTTGCAGCTTCTTGCTTTTCTGCAGCACGTTTTTCTCGTTGTGTAGCCCCACTCTGGGTAAACTCGTGCTTTCGGCATGGGTCAAGTTCCCCTATAAAGAATAACATTCTTTTAATTTCACAAATAAAAAATATGAAAAAAATGTCTATATACTTGTTTCATCCGCCATGATTGTGAAATTTCGTCAAAATAGATATAAACATAGGGTTTTTCAATCAATTTTCCCACCCTTGCAATCAATTATCCAATGAAAAATTTAACACCCCTATTTTATTATTTTCTTGCAATCAATTTTCCCAACCTTGCAATCAATTTCCCAATGAAAAATTGTACCCCTTACTTTATTTTTAAAACATACTAAAAAACTTATTAATAGTAAAAAATCAAAGTTATTCCTTTATTTCCTCCATTCGTTCTGCTCGGATTATATACCTTAACATTTTTTTTCTGTCAAATCCATCACAGTCTGTTGTGGTATTAACGTTAAAACCCTCATTAATACAAACATTTAATTGCTCTTCGCTCTTACATCGCTCTCTAATAACATAGTTTTTCCATTTAGAAAAGCAAGTTTCAATCGGATTGAGGAAAGGTGAATAGGAGGGTAAATACTCGGGTGTCAAGTTTAATTCTGATTTTGAAGAAGCCAAACCCGAATGATGGGGAATTCTAGCACATTATCAAGAATAAATATTGGATCTGTTACACCCAATTCTGTACATTTTTTAAGGTTCATTAACGTCACCTTAAAATCCTCGCTATTTAAAGCTTCATCATGAATGTTGCTGTAGATCATACAGTTTTTAATTCATGGCGGCAAAGACAGAAAGAGTTCTAGTTCTTGCAGCAGGCACATCTACACCAGCGGATGTACCAACAAGTGAACGACCTTTTCTTTTGGTCTTGATGAGACAGCAAACCCCACTTCATCTAAAAAAAACACCAATCTTTCAGCACTATGAGTTACTTCATACTCTCGAACCTTTGGAGCATAAATAAACCGTTTGTCAATGGTTATCTCATTGTTTCGAGGCTCTGGAACTACTGTTGTCTGGTTAAGAGTATGGTGAAATGACCTTAGACACCGGTCAATTGTACTATAAGAAACTTGAAATGAAAATTGTTCAAGAACCTTATCACTTGACTCAGTCAACGTTACCAAGGAGTTCTCATCGACCCAAGCATGAATTCGGTCTCTAGGTATGAGATCAAGCTTTGAACGCCTATTCCCTCCCTTTTGTTTAACAACAATTTGGCCAGTTTTTTTTTTTAATAATTACTCATTACTTTTCAAACGGCCCAATAGTCTAACGCTAAAGCATCGGAAAAAGCTTTAGTAGACATGCCTTGCCTGATCTTGTTGACTAAATTGACTGCAAGGGTCGGAAAATTGACTGCAAGGGTGGGAAAATTTACTGCAAGGGTGGGGAAAATTGACTGCAAAGGTGGGAAAATTGACTGCAAGGGTGGGAAAATAGATCGAAAAACCCTATCTACGAACTATTACCCTTCTATTTATGTCTATGGACAGATGGAT